CCGTGGGCGTAGTAGCCGCCGCCGCCCCCCGAGCCGCCGCCGCCCCCGCCAGCCTCTCCTCGGCCCGAGCTGATGAGCGAGTCCACCAAAAAAGAGTTCGCGGCGGGGCTCTCCGAGCATGACATTGTTGTGGGATAATTTGGCGAAGGGGGCAGATAGCCCTTTCTGGCTGACATTTCTTGTGCAAAACATGCTGAATACGATTAGCAATCCCCCCGCACCACGGCGGGCGCCCGCAGCCAATCCTGAGCTAGAGTTTCCGCGCGACCACTCCCAGTTTGATTTCGTAGGCGCGGGGCGCTCTCGGAGGGCGCCCTCCGAGCCCGCGATTGATATAAATATGTAATCTGTATTGATGGGCCGCGAGACGCACGCCCGATACCTCAGCCCAAAGGCCAGGAGCTGCGAGGGCTGCCCCAACGAGGCTGATGGGCGACCTGGCCCTTGAGCTCGTTCAGCCAATGCCCGGACGTGGCCCTCTTTGGGGGTCTGTTTGAAAGGCTCTTGGGCCCTGCGTAGTTAATAAGTGGGATGTTTATAGTGCGCACCCCGGCCTGCCTGGGGTGTTCCCCATCCTTATTTCAGAGTCAGCCACTAGCCCTCGGTACACCGAGGGGTCCTGTCAGGGCCTCAAGCTCTTCCCATTTAGCTCTGTACCTGGAGCTGTCTCCCAAAAGTGACGGACCTGGTCCTAAGGCCACCAGGTCCCTCAGAGTGTCCGAAATCCAGAGCAGACTGGAAGCTGACAATTTCCCTTCTTTCTTGTACCCCACACAGAATTTTCCCCAAACAGCAATGCTCGGGTTTCTCAGCCCCACTATACTCTCCTCTGCCAGTCAGTTGATCCAGTTGGGGGCTTTGCCTCTGGTGTGCCTTGGTGGGCTGGCATGAGTGGTGGTGGTGGAAGCAACTGGCAACCTTGGCTGAAAAATTACCCCACCCCTGCTCTGAGGTGAGGGCCAGGTCTAGGCACTCCACAGCCCCATCACCCTAGCAGGCTCCAAGCTTCAAGCCTTTTCAGGGAAGTGAAAGAAATGTTGGTCTTCTGGGGCTATGGCTTGCTCTGGGCGAAGACCTGAAGGGGTCGGCTGAGGGGGGTGGGCGGCAAATGGACACCTCTGCCACACATTCTCCAGTTCTCCCTTTACCCTTGGCATTCGCATGCTCCCACAGGCTATGACAAGAACCAGTGTCACCACACTCCTGCCTCTCCGTCCCCTCCCCTCTCTCTCCCTCCCCTCCAAACCCGCCGGCTGGAGCAGTCCTCACTCCCATGGTGTGCGCATTTTAACGAGGCCCCGCGGTGAGGAAATCCGTCCCCTGCGAGGCCGGGCTGGGCTCTTGGCCCAGTTATAGGAACTTTGGAGGCCAGGCTCTTTGCTCAGCAGACCCCTTCTCCTCTGGCCATAAGGACACACTCTTAGTCAACTGGAAATGGCCGGCACAGGGCACTAGCCCCCAAGTGTGGGCCTCATATATGTTTCAGGAAACGTGACCTTTTCTGCCCAGCCGGATCCAGTGGAGCCCAGGAGGTCGCGGCCTTGCCCCTGGCCTGGGGGCTACAGCTCTCCAGGATGCCCCAGGCCTGCCCGCCCCACCAGCTCCAGCTCCTGCAGAGGCCTTGACTGGAGCTACTGCACACCAGGATCCCAGGAAGCAGACTGCTCAGGTCTCTGCACGCAGCGAGGAAAGACCCTGGCATCCTGGGTGATTTGCCAGGCACTTGGCCTTGTTCCTCCCAGTACGAACCCAGTCGGAGGAGGAAGCAAAGCCTGAGAGGCCCCAGAGAGAGTGCACGGGAGAGCTGCGACAGAGCCCCAGGGCTGGCTAGCTGTTGCGGTCTCTGCCAGCCTCAGCTGCCCTGAGCGGAGCCCGGGAGGCTGCGCCGTTGCTTGCGCTGTGCTCCAGCCACTTCCACCACTGTGCCTGGAGATTACTGACTCTGTGAATGAATC